TGGTTACCAATATTCTTCCAAATATCTTCTTTTATGTTTCGCAGAAGAAGGATAGTCATACCGGTTTGGAACGCCATGAGGGTGAGTAAATGATGCCAGAAATATCATTTTGGGTGGACTATGCCTTTAAATTACCAGAGCTAAGAACAGTCAAATTAGGCGTGTTATAATTTATGCTTTGAGCCTAATAAATCACAACTTCATAAGGACCTGTAATGTCTGCCAAAATGTCTTTCACTTCTTGAGTCCTTCACTGAGTACTTGGGTACTTCTTGAAGCATTCATTTGCAAGACAAATGTAACTAATTTATTAAGACTCAGGAGAGGAACAGCATAATTTCCACAAGGTTTTAAACCTCATTAATTCAGTGGTTGAAGTTATAGTAAGGCCTATACATCCTTCCCGTAGTGGAAATTGCTCTTCTATTCATCAGTTCGAAAACTGCGGCTCCATGAGAAACACATGAGTGTCCACAAAACTGCATCCCTCAAATTTATGTGCACAGTTTAGTTTCCCATTGGCTTACATTGTATTTTTGTCCATATAAAGGAAGTCAATAGGAACTGAAACTGTTTGGTTACCAACTTTCTTCAAAATATCATCATTTATGTACTGTAGTAGAAAGTAAGTCTCAAAAGAAGATATTTTGAAGAACATTGGATGACGAAACACTGACTTTAAATTATATGAATGAAAAGTACAATGGAACTCATTGGGAATCTAAACTGTTTGGTTACCAATATTCTTCCAAATATCTTCTTTTATGTTTCGCAGAAGAAGGATAGTCATACCGGTTTGGAACGCCATGAGGGTGAGTAAATGATGCCAGAAATATCATTTTGGGTGGACTATGCCTTTAAATTACCAAAGCTAAGAACAGTCAAATTAGGCGTGTTATAATTTATGCTTTGAGCCTAATAAATCACAACTTCATAAGGACCTGTAATGTCTGCCTAAATGTCTTTCACTTCTTGAGTCCTTCACTGAGTACTTGGGTACTTCTTGAAGCATTCATCTGCAAGACAAATGTAACTAATTTATTAAGACTCAGGAGAGGAACAGCATAATTTCCACAAGGTTTTTTTAAGGTTTTAAGGCCTATACATCCTTCCCGTAGTGGAAATTGCTCTTCTATTCATCAGTTCGAAAACTGCGGCTCCATGAGAAACACATGAGTGTCCACAAAACTGCATCCCTCAAATTTATGTGCAGTCCCATAGGCGTAATGGTTTTTATACTGTACAGACCGTATATTCTATTGCCCTTTACCAACCCTACCCCTAAATCTACCCCTTACAGGAAACTTTGTGCTATTTCAGATTTTCAATACACTCACTAGATTTATAAGCGTTTTGAAAAGTGGGGACGTGGGGTAATGTCCTGAAATGTCACCTTCTCCTTGTAATACCTATGTCATACCTTTGTCATTATACAAATTTATGTCCTCATTTGTCACAAAAACGTGCGCACACACACACACAGTCCACTGAAACTGTCTTTGTTTAATAGAAAATGTAAACTGTACAACTCTGAGCCTATTTCAAAAGTAGTGGAACTGAACAGTACGAAATCTGCTTCAACACAAGCTTTTCAAACCAGGAGTCCAGAGATTGTATATAGTCCATTACACATATATACTATTTAAATGAATTAACTACTTGTGAAAAAAATTAAGGACTAGTGAATATGTAAGTTTTACTGTAAGTTTAAATATGTATAATAAAAAAAGAATTAAAAAAATTAAATCGACAATAACAAAAATAATCTTTAGTATTAACTAATAAATATTAATACATTTACTGAACTTGTTCATCTGTAAAAACATCAAATACACCAAACACATCTCAAGAGTCTCCACTGAAAATAATAGATCAGGAAACAATAGCAAGAGTTCCCTATAAACATGGTAATATTATCATAATATTATTATTCAGCTTGTAAAACTGATTTTTCTGTTCTACAGTAAGTGGTTGAGATCTTACCGTGGTGTTGAAGCATCCAGCTGATCTTGCCCTGTGCACAGTGTGTAAAGTCTGTCTGAGAGACACACAGTGGTGTTGCAGCAGTTTTTCCCATGAAACACATCACACGGAGCTGATCCTCCCACTGGGCAAGACATTTGCACTCTCAGCCCGCCCACATCTGACACACCAAAACATCCAAACCTTCAACAGCTTTGAGCTGATTCTTCCAACATGGAAACTATGTTGAACATGGAAAAACTCCCAAAGCAGCACTTAGTCATTTTGCTCAGGGACAACATCTGACAGGATTTCTGCAGGTTTCATGAAGGTAAAATTAAGACGCTTTTAAGACGAAGTAAAGAAAATCTTTTAGGAATAAACTGAATGGAACAGTACGTCAGCATGGTCTCTAATTGTAAATGTCTTGTATTATCAACAATTCAAAGTTTAATTCAATAGATCCCCATTACTTGAACTTTAAAACGTCTGATCACCCTGCAAAAAGGGTCCAAAGATTCTTGAAAATACATTAACTTGAGAAGCACAATGACACAAGAGAAGAAATTTTATGGGAAACTGATAAAATTATGTATACACTGTAAAAAATAAGTGTATTTTAACTGTAAAATTTTGTCAAAACGCTACGGAAAAAAACTGTTAATAGGTTAACAGTAAGTTCCCGTACTAAATACAGGGAAAAACTGTAAAATATCTAACCAGACATTTCATGTAATTTTACAGTAAAATGCTGTTAATTTTACAGTTTTTAGAAGTAAAAATAACAAATCAATGTATAATTTACAGTAAAAAACTGATATTCCCAGAATTCCCTGCATGACACTCCACATTTGAAAGTGTTTTGTTTAAATAATCATGTTTTTTAATAGTTTTTGTTATTAGTTATGTATATTTGGGCTTTGTTGCATCTTCTGTTGTTTAATGTAAGTTTAATGCATTATTTAAGTATCATGTGTGTTACCATGATGGTGTTTTGTGTTTGCGTGAATGACTCTGTGCACCTTCTATATATTAGTATATACTTCTGCTTGTGGCGAAGCTACTTGTGGTGAGCTTTGATTCTTCATGTGGCTTTCTCTTTTACCACTTGCATTATTATGGTGGTTGTCAGTATGTTAAAAGTACAAAACAGATTTTAATAGCAGTGTGCGTTGTTGAATTTACTGGTTTACATTCAGATTTTACAGTTTTATACTGTAAAATTTACAGTTTTTGGCCGTAAATGTGTTTACAGCACATTTACGTTTGGCAACCACAGCTGCCAAAATTATTTTGTAAAAACTACAGAGTTTTTTTTACAGTGATAAGTTTAAAACAAAAACAATTATCTGGCGGTGGGCTCAGACAAATCAACTTAATTCAAAGAGAAAACAGGTTTGACATTTACAGATGTGCTTATTTATAGCCTCTCATTTAATTTTGTTCAGTTCCTCAGAAAACAAGACTTCACATCTTTATTTTGCATCTCAAGTAAATCTATCTTAAGGATGTTTAGATATTTGCATCGGAAAACAAAACAAAAAGTTTATTTTTGCAATGCATGCAAAATTTAATGCCATTCATTAAACACTTTCTGCTCTGATTTAAGAAGTTTTAAGGCCTAAATTTGTGATAGCGCAAATTAAGACTTTTAAGACATTTTTTTAAGACTTGCAGAAACCCTCATATGATTTAACAAATGTTGATTTTTAACATATTACAAGTTGATTAAAAAACACAGTTCTAACTCTAAATTCTGATCAGATACTGTTCTATATACTGTTCTTTTTTTATTCTTCAAAATTATATTCGGTTTAGTTCCTGCTTGCATGCTTCAATTTGCTGAATCTTGATCCTGACACACAGAGACATCTAGAGGTGAAACAAGAGCCACACACACACACACACACACACACACACACACACACACGAATGAGACCAGAGCTCAAATGAATATAGCTTTAATTTATCAGCGAGCTCTGAGACAAAATATACCATAAGTAAACAATTCTCATTTTCTTGATATCTGACAAGTAATAATCTTTATAATTCAATCACAAAAATTTATATCTTATTCTTTTACACTTTATTAGAAAAAAAGAAAGGAAAACACACACAACAATCAATAACATTCAACACAATCACACTCAGCAGTGAGTCTCTTGTACACACACACACACACACACACACACACACACGCCCTCATTATATCCATTCATGAAAGGGGAATTTTTAAGAATGAATCAAAATAGCGAATCATGTAATAAAAAAAGGAGAGGGTTATTTTGGACCCTGGGACTTCACATATGAAAACGTAATACCTTTAATCGCTTGTTCAACAATCTTGAGTGTCATTATTCTGTGTTCTCAGCATATCAGAATTTTGCAAGAAGCATTTTATGGCAAAATACACACATGCTGTTAGTCTGGGCTGATGCTTATTCCCAGATTCATTTCAAATTGAAATGAAGAATAATCTGGCAGGAAAAAAACATACATTCCTGAAGAAAAAAGTCTGTGATTCATTTCGCTGTAAGGCAGTTCATAAAGACATGATGACGTTCAAAAAACATCTTTAGCCTTTTCTCCCTTTATTTTCCCCCTTGTTTCAGAAGTATATAACAGCAGCAGCCAACACAATCACAGCACAAGCCAATATTAACAACTGGAATCTTAAAGACAGTTTTGCCTGGGAATTTTGTTACAAAAGGGAGTGAAGATCTGTTTCATGAGTGAATCTAACATGTCCAGGTCATATTTCACCCCAAAACCAAAAGCAAGAAATAGGAAATATATTGCTTAAAGACAAATTTGATAAGATTTAAGTATTTTTCACCCAAATTCTTAAAAAAAAGAAGGAAAAAAACAAAAACAAACCTGTATTCTCATTTTTTAAAATGTGAAAAAATATATTGTTTTGAATGGTAAAGAATTACATGGTATTTATTGTACAACCTTTATAATGATTCACATAATACAGTTTTATTGTAACAATATACTGCATTAAAGTAAGGAAAATGTAGAAAATTTGTGAATAATGGGAATTACAAAAAATAATAATAAAATTAAATAGTAAAATGTTCTGACTTATTGACGGCGATGAGAATTTGGGTAAAATGTGTTTTATCACAATGAAAACATTTGAATGCACCTAAAAACAGGCATAATTTAAGCAATTTTTCATTTTGATTGGTTTGTGAAATGTCACTTGAACATGTTTTTTTGTTGTTGTTGTAAAATTCACCCTCAAACCTCTGAAAAGTGGGTTGTGCCTCGAAACTTAGAGAGAGTGTCTTACCTAGACAACACTTTTGGCCACCATAAACACATAATGATATAAAAATGATAGGCAGCTCACTGGTTGTGAGATTGTATTTCCTCAGTGTGACAATTCTAGATCATTTCATTGTGCCTCATTCTGTTGGCTAAACTAAAGATTTCCCATTTCCCCCACTATAACAGCTGATGCTGTGCTTGCACACAATCTCTCTCTCTCTCACACACACACACACACACACACACACATCAAAATATCACAAAAAAGCAGCAATGTAGTCTGTCCTGTATGAGTGTCCTGAAGTGTCTCTCAGGCCCTGGAACAGCAGGTATAACTAGAGAAACGCTCCAGTAATCTCACGTGTACGTTGGAGCACGTTCAGCGCACTAGTGTGAAGGCCCTGTGTTCTTAGAGGTCCGTGTGTCCTGGGTTAAACCAGGCTCCTGGGTGTACCGTTCAGCGCTGTGGATTTGAGTCGGGCCAGGCCGTTGCCGTTACCGCTGCTGCTGGGTGGGCTGGACTGCACCGCCGCTCCTGTCCTCTGGGTGGAGCTGCTCACCTCGAATACCTCGTGGATGGCCTTTCGAAAGCAGTGGAAGTTGTAGTCTATCAAACCTGTGGAAGATATGGTGAGTTCAAGTCATGTCGGATAGATCGTATTTACAAGTTGAACGCACATGAACGCCACCACAAAGTCGTTATTACGAGTGGGAAACTCGAAATTTTCTTTAAGCCCCGAGTTTCCGAGTTGGGGGCGTGTCAGTGAGAAACATGGCGGAATCGATGGATGCAACGTCTGTAGTTGACGGTAAATTTTTGTTTAAATTGATAGTTTAGTTGTCCTATAAACTTAAATTGGTCATGTTCTTGTTACGCAGCTAGTTAATGAAATCCAAGTAAAAAAAAAAGCTATCATTTTTGCACCTATAGGTGAAAAAACACACCTGATGCGAATTCTTTGCTCTTCATTTTCTATAAGCAGAGTTAACAGACCCTGTTGTATTTTCTTGTAATTTATTAAAAGAAGGTACACCGCCATCTTGTGCCGACTAAACTGACTTGAATGCATCTGACGTCGTAATTACGACTTGTCAACTCGTAAGTACGAACGTCCCAGGAGGACTTGAACGCAGCAATAGAGACATGAGCCATATTCGGAGTTACAAATGAGATGCTTTTAAGTAAGAAACACTGTGGTGCTTTTATCATTTTGTTGGTTAGAGCAGTCTGAAATAACAACTATTCAACCAATCTCACCTAGCGTGAGTTTGAGGCGGGACTATGTACTTGACCAAGCAATGGAAGAACAACAAATGTTTGGGAAAACCAGTTAATATTTTTGCTAAGTTAATTTGATCACACTACAGTCTTAAAAATGATGGTCCTCTGTTGGAATCTGTGGTTCAGTGAAGAACTTTAACATCCATGGAAACTCTACAGAAGTTTCTTTATAGGGAAATAAAGATTCTTTCGATTTGTGTTGTGAATGTTTTTCACACACACTTCTTTTAAGAACTGTTCACTGAAGGGTTCTTTGGAGAACCAAAAATGGTTCTACGTGACACTTTACCTATACACAAGTCAACAAAACATGCTGATATTCTACAGCGAATGATCATGTCAAACATCTGTACCTTTTCTCTCAAAGCTCTCTTCTCTCAGGATGCAGACCAGAGCCAGGAACTTGGTGACCTCCTTCAGGTAAAGCACTGTGGTGTTGTTCAGCTTTATGATGGCCAGAGACTCTTTATCATAAGCGTTACCATTGCCGTCGTCTTTTAGGCTAAAAACATTCAATAAATGTATTTAAAAAAAACTCGAACACATAATAGAGGACACAATATATTGCATTTATCTTATATATTGTCAGCATAAAGAAAGATAACAAGAAAATAATATATATTTTTAAAGTAGTATACACTACTGTTCAAAAGTTTGGGCTCAATTTGAAAGAAATTAAAGTGCCCTTAAATGCCATTTCGGATATTGCCTTTCGTGCAGTGTGTAATGTAGCTGTATGAGAATGTAAACGATCTGCAGAGTTGCAAAGCTGAAAGTGCACGATAAATAAAGTTATTGTCTCCCAAAAGAAAGAATCGACTCTGAACAGCCTAAACGAGTCGTCAGTAATTCGAATACCAATTCTGTGACGGCTACACGTCACAGGTAACTTTGCATAATGCCCGCCTATGTTCTACGTTGGCCGGCTACGAAAAAATTGACCCGCCCTTAAACACTGTAGCTTGTTCGTGTCGAGAAGACGCTATGAAAGTAAATTCGTTTGATTTTCACTTCCGAAAAATGAGGCTGCAAAGAATCAGTGGTTAAAATTGATTTTTTCCACTATACTACAGCAGTAAAACCCCAGTCTTTTTTGTGTGTGTGTGTTCCCATCATTTTACTGACGACTGCTTCTCTAATCTCAGAGAGTTTAACGCGGGATTCACAAAACGCATGCTCTTGAAAGCTCAGTACCCAGTGATTTGGCTTCAATGAATCACAACCTGTGAGTATGAGAAATAATAGATGTTTATATTTTCTATCGACCGTTCAAAATACGCAACTATGGCAGTGGGCGTATCGTTTCCGACACATGCTGTACGCGGTAGACCAATCACAACAGACTGGGCCATCTGACCAATCAGGGCAGAGTAGGCTCACGGAAAGCAGGAGTTTAGAGAGACTGAGGCTATGTCCGAAATCGCCCCCTATACCCTTAAATAGGGCAATATTTGAGGGAACAGCCATTTTTAGTGGTGTCCGAAACCATAGTGGATGTTCTCGAGTGCACTCATTCAATCCCACAATGCACTGCAAAAACGAGTGTACAACTGGTGCACGCTCAACAGCTAGAGAATGCCCATAATGCACCGTGAGAGTCACGCGCCTAATGAATTCCCGCATCTCGCCAGAAGATGGCGCCCGCAGCTGAATAATCAATCCGTTCATTTTTACAAAGCGCTCATCCACGGCGTACAGCATAACGTACAACACTGGTATAAATTCATTGTAAATTGATTATTAAATTGTTTGATTAGGGTTTATACATCATTTCCGTGACAGAGTTCAAGATAAATCCTTTAATCTTACTACTGGAGCTGCTAGTTTGCTAGTTTCAAATGATTAATAAACAGCAAGCACAAACTATGCAAAAGCGGCATTCCTTCCGGTGCAGACAGTGTCCGAATTCACTACTCGTTTTCATTCACTCCTTCTAGTGAACTGAATTAGTGACCTAATGTAGGGAATAGTGAATGAGGGTATAGGGGGCGATTTCGGACACAGCCTGAATCTTAGAACTGTTTGGAATGAGAATCGTTGGAAAATGAGGTGATATTAAATGCATATTTTGAGAAAACAAAATAATTTTTTTGACCTTGCATGCATGTAAAGCTCTTGTAGGAGACTCCCAAAACAATATTAGGAACCTTAAAAATGGCATCATAGGGACACTTTAATACATTTATTCAGCAAGGACACATTAAATACAAAAAAAAGACAGTTTTCAACGTTGATAATAATAAGAAATGTTTTTTTGATCAGCAAATTAGCATATTAGAATGATTTCTGAAGAATCATAATGACAAAACTGAAAATGTAACTTCCCTTGCATGCATGTAAAGCTCTTGTAGGAGACTCCCAAAACAATATTAGGAACCTTAAAAATGGCATCATAGGGGCACTTTAATACTTTTATTCAGCAAGGACACATTAAATACAAAAAAAAAGATGTTTTCAACATTGATAATAATAAGAAATGTTTTTTTGAGCAGCAAATTAGCATATTAGAATGATTTCTGAAGAATCATAATGACAAAACTGAAAATGTAACTTCACCTAACATAAATAAATTACATTTTAATATATATTAAAATAGAAAATAGTTATTTTATATAATAATATTTCACAATTTTTCTGTTTTAACTGTTTGTTTGCTTAAAGAAATCCATTCTTGGTGAGCATAAGAGACATCTTTCAAAAAATCGTATGATCACAGACTTTCTGAACGGTAGTGTATTGATACAGCACACTGCCAACACACATTTCAGTTCAAACAACTTGTAAAAGTGCATGTAGCATCCTATGACCCCTTTAATAGATACAACTTTTGATTTTAATAATGTATTACTAAATGTTGGAATCATCATTAACTAAAAGCAATAAATGCTTTAGAAGTTTTTTGGTTGTTAGGTTGATAACTAATGTTAATTAATGTTAACAAATGGAACCTTGGTGTGAAGTGTACCAATTTGCTTAATAATAAAAGTAAACATTATATTGAAATATTATAATTTTAAAAACAATATAAACACATTGAATATACTTCTATTTATTTTTATTTCACTTTCAGTAATCTTAGTACTTCAATTGCCAAGGCAACATTTTCTCATAGATTTTTTTCATCAAATATTAATATTTTATTTCAGCTTTTTAACAATTTTTTCTAATATAAATTTTTTTTCAGCTATATTTCAATGAATGAAAAATTATTTGAATACTTTTAGTTTTATTTAACTATAACAACATTGTTTACCTGTTGGAACTGGCTGGGATATCATTGTAACCCAGCTGAAAGCACAGAATAATCCTACCAAACACTCTCTATCTGTTATTAGACTGTATCACGGCAAATTGATCCGGCTTTAGGATCAGTATGACCAACCTGAGGTGAAGCTTTTCCAGACTGGCGTCAGCTAGATCATCATTAGCCCTCTGATGAATGTCTCTCTGCGTCTCTATCTTATGATCATCCGATAAACCGTCCACCTTGTGTATAAACACCTCAAAATTGATCTCCGGGTTCACCCTGAATGCCCGCGACACTGTCAGATGTAGCCGGCCTAATGCTTCTACATAGTCATCCTAGAGAGAGAGAGAGAGAGAGACATCCAAACACAACGGTAAGATAACTGCAAAGTCTTTGCCAGGCACAGAGCCAATTCCAAATGAAAGTAAGCATATTAAACAACAATCACTCTCAGAATCCTCATATTTCGCTGATGTCGGCTCACCTGAGCATCAATGACGAAAATCAGCGCGCCGGTGCCCCTGAAAATCATCTCGTAATCGAATGTGGGGTCGAAAAAGTCCACCTGCCCCGGAAAGTCCCATATGTGAAAGTTCACGAAGGAACTGCCAGAGATGTCGTCCTTGTAGATCTTGTTGGTGCTCTCCAGGAAGAGCGTCTCATTCGGGGACATCTTATGAAACACCACCTGAGATTCACAACATTAAACCACAGGTGAATATGCAATGTACATATAGCCTACAGATATTATAAAACATGTCGGATTCGTTCCTTATTCAATTATATACACAAGGCTCACACAGAAATAAAACCATATAAATATTATTTCATCTAAACACATCCAACAGAAAATGAGTTCCAGAGGACGAGGGATTTTAAGCAGCATTAAATGCTATTTAACAATGAAAGGAAATGTTCTTTTGCAATTATAGTTCTAAATGAAGCAATATTTGAAATGCATTTCACTCGGTTATGTCAGCAGAATCAGTAGATGTTCCATTGTGATAAAATACGAAGAAAAGCATTGGTCTTTTAACATGCATACACTGATGAATCATGCACAATATGATCACTAGACGTTTGCTAACAAAACAAATCAATTATTATTTACTTTATGTTGACTTCAACCAACAAGCACTCAATAAAATGTCCATCCCTCTGCTATATATTTAGCCAAATAAAATATATACAACATAAAAGTACAACATAACCTAAAAGTAGTATACTTTATATAGCACTTACATAAAACTACACAATGTTTTATATATAATATAGACAAGTTATTTAATAATAAATACAAGAATATTAATCTAACAAAATATAAAATGGTAATACCATGTTATTGTTCACTGCTATAATGGTTACACTTTCAAAAATACCAAAAAAAAGTAATATAGCTGTCCCTATAAGTACTGTAGCGCTACCATAGTAAAGTGATGGTAATACTGTGGTACGTCTAAATATACCATGATACTGAAATTCATATACAATTGTATTTAAATGGTACTCCATGATACTATGTATTATTATTACCGTGGTACATGTCCAGTTTTTGGTACTACAGCACTATGGTATCGTGGTAATATCATGTTTTTGAATATGTACCATGGTATTCTCGGACGTCTCTACGTAAAAGAACCAACACACTAGCATCTGACACCATTACTGTACCATGGTACTGCTACAGTGTGCTTTTGTAAGAAATGGTACACCTGGGTACTTCATAGAACAGCGTGTTATTATCATATTGATAACGTTAGTGTCCAAATCCAAGGTTTTACCATGGTACTTTTATTGTTAGTGCAGTATCCCAATGGGATCTGACCTTCTGGATGGAGGATTTCCCGCTACGCCTCAGTCCCATCAGCAGGATTCTGGGTTTATTGTCTGCAGACGGCGAGTTTTCCAAGTTTTCCTGCATCATATCCATGTTTTCCACGCCGTAGCCGAAATCTTTAGGGAAAGAGTCCACCAGGCTTCCGGCTAGCTGCTCCTCGTACTCGATCGACATTATAACCCTGTTTTTAAAGCTTTAAATCCCTCTGATCTGTCTGTGGGGACTCTGTAGGATGTTTGGGTTATTGAGGTGGGATCGGTGTGGATTACAAGTTCAGTTTGGACACAGATGAGGAGGTTTCATAGTGGGAAGCGGTTAGCTTGCAGCATGAACACAAACAAACGGGAAGCTGATCATATGACAGGCGCAGAGGAGGAACGCCTGCAGGCGAGCGGAAAGGTCTACAGTGTGAGGGAGGCCTCTGAGTGGAGCGGTCTCTGAGATGATCAACCTCTCGTTTACATTTTAGAAATATTTTATAATTTGAAAGAATTTAATTATTCACTAGGCAAGGCAAGGCAAGTTTATTTGTATGGCACATTTCATACACAATGGTAATTCAAAGTGCTTTACATAAAATAAAATAAAAACAATAATCACAACAATAAAACAAGGAATTTAAAAACTTTGAAAAAAAAAAATTTTTTTTTTTAGCTCAATAATAATTTTAAACATTTAATTTCGCCAGTTATTCGTTTATAATGCAGAACCCACACTTTTGGTTGTTGTTGTTGAATTTAATGTACAAAAATGATCTATGGTATATGAAAACTTTACTTTAAAAATACAGAATCTATATTTTTATTTTGAGTATTTTACTGTACTAGGATTATAAAATGAATAATGAACAAGTATCATTCAGTAATGATATTTTTATTTCCCCCATTCTTTATACTTTTTGCAAAAGTTAAACGTATGATAAAAATATATTATATTAATATATTTTTATAGAATTATAAAACAAATTTTGAGCCAGTTTTAAATGTGTGTGTGTATATATATATATATATATATATATATATATATATATATATATATATATATATGTATGTATGTGTGTGTGTGTGTTATTATATTTTACTGTATTCATATACTAGGATTATAAATTAGAAATTAGAAAGTATAATTTAGAAATGATGTTTTTTTCCTCCTGTACTTTATATTTCTTATCATATATGATAATAAAGAAAAATACGACAAATTCTATTCTATGCTATTCTATTCTATTAATATACTAGAACTTTACTCTAAAATACAGGTATTATATTTTTATTATTTTAATGTACTAGGATTATAAAATGAATTATGAACCAGTATCATTCAGTAATTTTATTTTTATTTCCCCCACTCTTTATAGTTCCTGCAAAAGTTAAACATATGATAAAAATATATTATATTAATATACTAGAATTCTAAAATAAATTAGGAGGTAGTTTTTATATTATATTATATTGTTATGATGGCGCTCATCCACCAGGGGGCGCTTATAAACACATGCATGAGTCACACGCCTCTCACTGACGGACAGTTTAAGAAGAAGCAGCAGCAGCAGCAGCAGCAGCAGCAGTGTAGACAGGAAGAGCGTTTGTGAGTAAAAACAAGCGTTTACAACATATTTGAAAAGCATATAATTATTCTGTCAGCGTTATATTGGAATACATTTGACACTTTCTATGTTGTGGCTTTCTTTGCGTACGTTAAAACGCTGTTGCCATATTGATATCTGAAGATGTTTCATTCAAACACGGCTTTGAAATCCGACCAAAACAAACACAAATGTTGTCAAATATGTTATTTTGAATGAACAAACAAACAACGATGATTGTTTTATGCAAGGCTGAAACATTTGGCTATTTGGTTTGTTTGTTTATAATGCTAGATGTTATAATGTTTTATTCGATTTATGTTTATGAATGTGTCAAATATGGAACATTTAGTGATATTTTTTTCTCCCCCACTGATTTACTTGTTTTATTAACAAGATTACTGAAGTTAATTCAGTACTCCTGTTTTATTAGTGTGTATTTAAATGCTGATTAAACATGCATTTCTGTCAAGCAGACCATTATAATACATTACTGTTTTCAACATTGATAATAAGAACAATAATTCATTTTCTATAAATCAGCATATTAGAATGATATCTGAAGGATCATGTGACACTGGAGACTGGAGTAATGATGCTGAAAATTCAGCTTTGCATCACAGGAATAAATTCTATTTTATAACATATTCAGTTACAAAAGGTTTTACTGCATTTTTGAGCAAATATATGCTACTGTTTTCAACATTGATAATAAGAACAATAATTCATTTTCTATAAATCAGCATATTAGAATGATATCTGAAGGATCATGTGACACTGGAGACTGGAGTAATGATGCTGAAAATTCAGCTTTGCATCACAGGAATAAATTCTATTTTATAACATATTCAGTTACAAAAGGTTTTACTGCATTTTTGAGCAAATATATGCATCCTTTGTGAGCTTTGTGAAAGAGACTTTGAAAAAAAAAAAAAAACGGTAATCTTGCGAAATGTTATTAAAATAATGGTTTCTATTAGGGCTGTGCAATATATCGAAATTATCGAAATATCGCAATATGCATATCGCTACAGCTTGCAATATTTGGGGCCATGAACAAAAGACAAAGAGAAAATCACCTAAATAACTTTTGTAGCTTAAATAAGAATCAGTGCATATTGAATTCAAAGAGTCAATTCTAAGCAGTGTTTTATTTTTCCTTTTTATTATTCAGTTCCTTACATTTTTATGTAATGCTCGAGTAAAACACATACCGTTCACTTTCAGAAGTTGTTGTAGGGGTGCTTTCTTATTAGAATCAGAATGAGCTTTATTCACCACTTAAGTGTGCGCAAACACAAGGATTTTGTTGTGGTTTTACAGGAACTCTTGGTACATACATGCATACAAATAACCATATATATATGACACAAGATAGTTCAAGAAGTTCACAGAACTGACTCAGCAACAGCTGAGTAAAACTGTTTCATCTGAGCATGTGGCACTTTAAGCATTATCGTATCGCATATCGAATATCGCATTATTTAAGGAGTTATCGCATATCGCATTTTTCTTCAATATCGCACAGCCCTAGTTTCTATTTTAATATACTTTAAAGTATAATTTATTTCTGTGATGCAAAGCTGTATTTCCATCAGCCATTACTCCAGTGTAAAGTGTCACGTGATCCTTCAGAAATCATTCTAATATGCTGATTTATTATTAGAATTATCAATGTTGGCAACAGTTGTGCTGCCAAATATATATTTTTTGCAAACTGCGATACTTTTTCAGGATTCTTTGATGAATACAAAGTTCAAAAGAACAGCATTTATTCAAAATATAAATCTTTTCTAACAATATAAATCTCTTCTTAACAATTTAACACATCCTTGCTGAATAAAAGTTTGAATTTCTTTCAAAAAAAAAGAAAGAATAACAATTTTCTGACCCCGAACTTTTGAACGGTAGTGTATATTGTTCGAAAAGATTTCTATTTTCAAATAAATGCTGTTCTTTTTAACTTTTTATTCATCAAAGAATCCTGGAAAAAGAATCGCAGGTTCCAAAAAAATATTAAGCAGCACAACAGTTTCCAGCACTGATAATAAATCAGCATATTAAAATGATTTCTGAAGGATCATGTGACACTTTACACGGAAGTAATGGCTGATGGAAATACAGCTTTGCATCACAGAAATAAATTATATTTTAAAGTATATTAAAATAGAAACCATTATTTTATATTGTAATAACATTTTGCAAGATTAC